GGGGAAATTACAGCAAAGGAAAATAAAAATTAAACAATCTTTATTAAGATGCTAGTCTATCTTGTAAAAAAAAAAAGGGAACCAAAGACTGCAGGTTAAGGTTCAAAGATTTTAAAATCCAGTTCATTACACCTTTTTTTTTCTTTCAGGGTTTACTTGATTATTATGACACACTTCAACTTCAGCTTAATGATATTGTGGAGTTGGTAAGAGGAAAATTATCTAAGCAAACACGAACTACACTAGGTGCTTTGGTGACTATTGATGTGCATGCTAGAGATGTCGTCATGGAAATGATTAAAAGTGGTACATATCTTTTTTAAATGTTATTGTTGATGTGTTTTTTAGCATAGATTTACCCCAAACAGAAATAGATTTCTATAATCTGATTTCCTTCCTTTTTTAATGTAAGCATCTTATGTAGGAAAACATTCATAATTACAAAACTACCAGTATTTCATATCTGTAAGTGTATCTTATACTTTACTATATCCAATTTTATAAAACTTGTTTCAGCTGTAGTGCTAATTCCATTTCTACTAGGTGTGGAAAACGAAGCAGATTTTCAGTGGCTCGCTCAACTGCGATATTATTGGGAATATGAGAATGTTCGTGTTCGCATCATTAATTGTAATGTAAAATATGCCTATGAATACCTTGGAAACTCACCTCGACTTGTCATTACTCCGCTTACGGATCGGTGTTACCGCACATTGGTAAGCTTTTATATAAAAACACACAGTTGAGATAACTACAGAATTAATTTAATTGTAATATGGTTTTTCCTACTTCATACTTGTTAGGTTCATAGAAATAATTATGGGACTCTGCGTTTCTGTTTAAAACATCCAGTATTCAGGAGCTTGTGAGCATTTTTATATGTGCTCCTGATGCGGCACCTGGCACATTTAATTAGTGAATTGCTCTAATTAAAAGTGCCAGGCTCCACATAGGAAGCATGTGTATCAGCAGTGTAGTGCTCCATGCTCAGAAAATGGCAGTGGTGTGCTTTGAACTAAAGCACATTGAACGTGTTTTAGTTAAAACTGCAGCACTGCCATTTTCTCAGTGCGGAGGTGTCCTGTGCTGCTGATGCATGTGACACACGAGGCTGCCAGTTTACGTGCTCCAGCAGACGCAATTAATTGAGTCTGCTCCGATGTGCTGGATTTCCAGTGCGTTGGAGCAGGCTCCTCACATGTGTGTAAGTGCCTTGTGATTCTTATTTAAAGTTTCAGACCTGACCTATCTTATGTTACCACACCTGCAACTATTGTTAATTGTTCATGTTTTGTGCTAAACTGTGCACGCTCATCAACATGGCTGAAATGTGACTGGATGATTTGGTTGTATATCTGGCATAAAGCAAACCTGTCAGCTGGCTGACAGTGAGGGGGTAAACCACTTGTGATGCTCTATAGCTAGCAAATGAAATTGCCGTTGACTTACCTATGATATTGTACTTAAAACTGGGACAGAAAAGAAACCCAAAATGGACTTGAAAGAGTACTGGGAACTAGAGGGAGGAATAAGGGTTATGTTGGGGAGCTAGAAGGAAGGAAGAAATAATGATCAGGGATCGAGAGATCCAGAAAAATGGGGGAGAGAGAATGAGTGATGAAGGTGGGATGGTATGGGAAAGGAAAGCAGAGGGAAGAGACTGGCATCTGGGGGAGAATAGTAACGGGATCATAGTAAATAGTAAATAGACAGTGGGTCAGGGCCAGAGTAAATGGAGACTGGGTAGAGAAAAACGCAGAGAATGAGAGGGAAGAGACAGATCTAAGGACAGAAAAGGAGAAATAGTAACAAAGAAGAGAAGCAGGCAAGATCAGGACCCATTTGTTTTTTTCCCATGAATAAGAACTGCCAGACCCAGTCCAGAACAGAAAAAATCCAGGTATGATTAGTATACTAAGGGAAAAAAGACTGCATCCCCCTTTCTAGGTACCTGTAATAAAAGACAGCTTCAAGCTGAGCTCATTTACTTTATTTTGAAGTTGGAAATTTTAAGTAAACTTTAGGGTAGCCTTTTCCATTTAGTGTGAAACTGTTTTATACAGTACCTGTTTTCAATTTTCTTGTTGCAATTGATTTTAAAATTATTTTCTATTATTAAAGTTGTCTTCAGGATTAAATTATTGGTTATCTTCATAAACTTTTTTTTTCTTTTCTTTTCTTTAGATTGGAGCTTTTTATCTAAACCTTGGTGGTGCCCCAGAGGGCCCAGCAGGAACAGGCAAAACTGAGACCACCAAAGACTTGGCTAAGGCTCTTGCTGTGCAATGTGTTGTCTTCAACTGTTCTGATGGCCTTGATTATCTGGCAATGGGGAAGGTAAACAGAATTGCATTGCAAAGTCAGGATTTGTGTATGTCAGGAAAAGGTGTTAATTTCCAGTGCAAGTTAGGTGCTTCACAAAGCATTTTTGAGCATCTGACCAATGATCCACTGCCCCAAACAACTGCCAATCCAAGGTCTCAATTCTGCAATGAGTTTTACATGTGCTTAACTTTATACACTGCAAATAATATCACTGAAGTCCCTGAGACTACTAACAATGTGTAAAGTTAAATATGGGTGGAAGACCTTGCAGGATCAAAGAGACAGAGCCAGCTTCCATTGAAACCAATGAAAAAGATCTGTTAACTTATTTTCCTAGAGTCCCTGGCTGACCTGTCTTTTCAATTAGGCTAAAATTTTAGTCAATTATTTATTTCAAATCTTCTCATCTTATGTTAGGGATGTAATTACCAGGGATCTGGGTTTTCCGTTTCCCACAGAAATGTTCCGCACATAATAGCTTGGAGCCAGTCTGGTCTGGGTTGGTCTGAAGATGTGCACCAGTGGGCCGGGCTGGCTCCATGCCATCATGTTCAGGCCCTGGGACTCAGCCAGAGGTGTGCGCTGCCAGGTCCTCTGCCTGCCGTGGCCATGAGCACACTGAGGGCTTACCACCTGCTGCTGCTAAGCTGCTGGCAGCGGTGGCTGTGCACCATGGGGGAGGTGGAATGTGTGGTGGTGGGGGCCCACACCTACCTACAAATGCTTCCACACACCCACAAACCCCACATGTGCCCACAAACCCCATATACTCACACACCCACTCACACCCCTCCTCATCTTCACAAACCACCCCCCAGACGCACCTTATGGCCACCCCAACCATACAACGTACCTACATATATTTCTAAAGAAGATTGAAGTAGTGCTATATTTAGTTTACTTTGTAATAAAAATAAAAGTAATTTTGCATAATTTTGAGTTTTTCTGCACATAATTCCCTGGGGTGTACAGAGTGGTCTCAGAACGGGATTTTCCATGATGAAAAACCTAAAATCAAATGCCGAAATATATAGGTATTTAGAAATTATTTTATTATAGCGATTGAGGCACTGGTAGGCTTCCAAGTTGCTTTGTTCAGCTGATACATACCTATATATACATATATATAATATACACACACGCGCATATATATATATATATATATATATAAGTGGCCTTTACACACACACACACACACACACACACACAGTGGCCTTTCATTTTGATAAGAGATTTTGGGGTTTTAATCAGAGAATTTGTGATTTATTTATTTATCTTTTTTTTATCGGAGAAAACCAGGGTCCGTGATAATTGCATCCTTTTTTTCTTGTTTTACAGTTTTTTAAGGGTTTGGCTTCTTCAGGTGCT